TCCCTCCCTCTCACCCCCACCCTCCGTACACCCAGCTGTGGTCCATGACTACTGGGGTGACGGGGTAATGAGGTCGTAATGTGAGATCGGCCACCCAGGGACATGTGCTGGCCTATGTTTTTTTGTGCTTCCTCTTTTTAGGTTGAGCGGACGGAATGCATCAGTTTTCTCTCTCTCTCTCTCTCTCTCTCTCTCTCTCTCTCTCTGTCTCTCTCTCTCTCTGTCTGTCTGTCTCTCTCTCTCTCTCTCCTTTCAGTGCGACACTTTGTCTATCTTAGAATGTCTCATCCCCGTTCTTCCCCCATTTCCCCCCCCACCCCCACCCCCACCCCCTCTCGGGGCGGTGCTACTGACTGAAGAGTCTTTAGGACATTCACAATTAAGATTGATGTTCTCATGCACAGTAGAATTGTCATTGTAAATTGGCTGATACAACAATGCCATGCTCATAACTGTGCCTGAACTGCATCAGGGATCTGCTGCTTTTTCTTTCCTAATTCTTACTATCGTTATTGTTCCTCTACTATTTTTGTATCTCTGTCACACTCTTGTGACCCGCTGTCTCCGGGGTGCCTTGATAGTCGAAGCAGACTTTGCGCTGTTAAAGCTAGAGAGGTGAGCAGTGATTCTGATTCCCTGTAAAGACTTCCCTGTTGACATCCACCCCTTGGCGCTTATATGACCTTATGCAGTTGTGCGAGCGCCGTAAAATCTCTACCAAAACTAACATAAAAAGCAAATGTTCTCAGGTAGATAGGAGTGCAAAACTCTTCCAGAAGTTCAGTGCTGCTCGCTTGTTGTGCCACAAGTGGTACTGAATGTGTGAAATGTTTCACAAACCCAACCACAAAATTTAGGATAATTAAATGATAGGCTTTTTCCACCATGTCTGTCAAAGCTTCAACGGGCTTTGTGGGATAGTTATCTCAGCGGAGAGACAGGGATAATAGATAAGAATAAGATAAACGTCCCATCTCGGGAATAGAACCCACATCTTTTCAGAGCAAAGCAATGCCGCTAAATATTACACCAAATAGCTCATCTACAGTATCAAATTGTGTTACTTGTCACGTTATCTGAGAAGTTAAATACCGTCGCCACAAATCCCTGTTCCACCTTGCAAGCTCCTTAGGGTACCATATATACAATCTTCATCTCAAAATCTGTGACCCTTTGATTAAGGTAATAATGCACGAATAAATGAAAAATTTTCGCACCACGAGAGCAGAACCAGAAATATTTGTGAATATTCCAGGTATCTATTTCTGACGATTTAGAACATTGTAGGGCAAATCACGCGATGTTTCGAGATTTCCTACTGCTTGATTATAATCTGGTTTTATGCAAATCGGCATGCATGCGGTTGGTGATAATTTAGCCCCTTCCTTTCTCGGGGACGCTAAAACTCATTTCTTACTGTGATCATATCCTTGAGATAATACCCTCGGAGCGTGACTCTGGGGCCAAACCAGAGGCATTATAGCTGGCTTTAGATTTGGCATGTACGGCCTGTGCTCTGCGTGAATACGCTAGAAAGAAACGTATAAAAATAAATCAATAACATCTGACCTTTCTTCTGTGATCATTCACCCTTTCACTGCCAGACCTGCTCTGTAACTCTAGCAGATAGTTCGAGACAGTGTTGGGCTGGTAGTAGAGGGGTTAAACACCTTGACACCTGTTTATATTTTTGTTAATTTATTTTCTTTTTAAAAATAAAGAATTGAGATCTATTCACCTAAGGTGAAGAAACTCTTGAACATCATTACATAAAGCAGCAAAACGCATAGACACAATCTGAGTCTTGAGGCGGGTTTGAGCTGCTTCGAGTGAGTGTGGATCTGCCTGTGTTGTGTGGGTTGCTACATTCCAGCAGACGAATGGAGATACAACTGGAAACAATATTTTGCAACAGTGGGAATCAAACTTACCTCTCCGAGCACGGCAAAGAAAATAACATTCAACCCGAAGATGCCAGTGGAAATGAGCAGACAGTCAAAATCACCGAAAAAAGAATACACAAATATTTTTTCTTCCAAATACACATCATACCTGTTTGTGAAGACGCTCTTCAAACGAATAGCCACCGCTGTAGTAGACTAACCGGGGCCGATTATCCAGCTCCGTTAGGGGAGTGCTTTCGTCAAGACCTGGTCCAAAGTTTTGTTTGACCACTGGTTCCGACATTCTTCACCATCTAGGTACGCTGAGACAGCGACAACCACAAGCCCGTGGTGGCGGTCACAATAAACTGTCACACATGTGAGAGGAAGAGCGAATCAGCAACGTTAAAAAGTCTCACGAGAAACTCCGAGAAGGTTTGGAATCAGAGGGAAGACGCGTCCCCTCAAGTCACTGAAACAGCTTTATTGTCAGTCTTCACGGCAAGAGATCGATGTTTTATCCTCTCCATTTGACCAACGAAGAAAAGTACTGGGGATGAAGTCTGAGGTTTATTAATGTCTGTTAAATCCACCCCCCCCCCCCACACACACCCCACCTCCACTCCCAATTCCCGACCGCTGTCGCTAACCCACCAATCCATTTCAGCAACAGCGCTAATAATTCTGTACGTCAATCTTTCGCGGAAAATGAGTTGAAGAAAATACGTGTGAATGGGCGGTTAAAAATAAAACAGACACAGTAGAGACAAATGAAGAAAGCATGTTTCTTTGCATCTCGATATGGACATCGATGATCAGGAACAGAGGTGCGGGGAAGGGAAATGGGGGAAGGGGTGGGACATACGAATTTTAGAGGGAAAACGTAATTCAACAACAACAAAAAGCTTTTAAAAAACTCAAAGTTCAAAATGATCCTTCTCACTAAATCGATGGACTTGGCGAACGCGGGGTTTAAAAAATAAACAACAAAAACCCGGAGGCATAATTATGATGGCAGGACAAAGATGAAAAGAACAAATAAAAAATAGATTGATTCACATACTGTTGTTTTTAAATACAGGTGTTTAACGCTCCCATCGACACAATTTAGATCATTTAGGAGATGGCCTGTGACCAGTCAGGACCAAAGCCGGTTAAAAGATTTTGCGTCTTAAAAAAATAAAACGAGATACTCGATAATATTTCCCTCCATGCAAGAAATTCTACTTGCGACGGCAAAACACCATAGAAGCCCGTTTTTTGTATTTGTTTATTATAGCTCACATTCTTACTCTGAAAATGGCTGTATGCGATTTTGTCCCAACAGACGCTACACATTCAGTATCAGATTCCCAAGAAAGGTGAAAAGAAAAAAGGAGAGAGAGAGAGAGAGAGAGAGAGAGGGAGACAGAGAGACAGAGAGACGTTGGAAGAGAAAGAGAGATAGAGAGAGAATGGGTTGGGGGAGGAGGAAGAGAAGGAGATAGAGATGGAGAGAGAAAGAGAAAAATATTATTCTCTTTCGTGTCTTGTTGTGTTTATGCGTGAGTGCACATGACCATTGTAACACCACTGCTATTGTTAATGACCAAGACACATTTCTCCCTAAGAGATGAAGAAAGCTAATTTATATTGTCATTGCCCTCTTCATTCTCATTGTCATTGTCATTTTCATTAAGGGCCTACAGTTCGACACGCTAATAGACACCAAAGACGATCATTCTCATTGTCATTGTCATTTTCATTAAGGGCCTACAGTTCGACACGCTAATAGACACCAAAGACGATCATTCTCATTAAAGATTGATATATAACGCTCATCTCTCCCCCCCCCC